GGGGGGGGGGGGGGGGGCAAGGGCCCATGCTCGCGTGCGCACTGAAGTGTAAGGCTATTGGGTAAATCAAAAGCTTGGATCGTAGCAATTCGGCTTTGGAAGGCAAAGGGGCGCGGTTTACATGATTAACTTTTTTTTAAAAATATTTTCGCACCGGTGTTTGTTATTTGTTGTGACGTTTTTAAACGTTCTATTATCTTCACTCTACAGGTAGATATACTTCATGACTCCTCTTACCTAATTACATATCCCAGTCTCATTAAATTTCAACATTTTCCGGGCTTCATATCTGAATGTTCCGGGCGTTGTATCTCATTTCCGGGCATCATATCTGAATGTTCTGGGCGTTGTATCTCATTTCCGGGCATCACATCTCGCAGTTTCGGTCACCGAATGTCAGAAAGAAAAAATTATTTCCTTTTTTTTTTGCAGGAAGTTTTAATGGACGACACTTTCAAACTTGACAATGTGTTTTCCCTGTCTATTCTCATGGACATTGTCAAGGTATGTTATTAGACTGTGGTTTGGGGGATCATAGTATTGCCCACATCACCACACCACATACCATTTTACCCGTACCACAAACATTTATTTCTTATCCCAACCATATATCTTATTCCCGGTACATACAACTTACCACCTTATCCCTACCACATACCACTTGCCACCTTATTCCTACCACATACCTCATACCATCTTAAGTCTACCACATACCACTTACCACCTTATTCCTACCACATACCTCATACCATCTTAAGTCTACCACATACCACTTACCACCTTATCCCTACACCATACATCAGAGTTTAGGATAGCAAAGTGTTTTTTGACTAACAGAAAACAGCAAACTCAATGTTACTTGCCATAACACCAGCCTCTGTTCACCTTTCTTCCCACAAAGGCCATCACCTACATCCACAAACATCCCATCCGTGTCCATGGGCGTCTCACAAGTGAGGTCTGCATGATTGATTCTCGTTTCTCCGTTAAGGTCGGACACTACGGCCTCCCTACCATATACGACACTGTTAAACTGGAAGGCAAAGAGTCGAGCTCGGCCAAAGGTGAGGCTGACTTTTAAAAAAATCTAGTTCTGATTTTTTCGAATGGGAATACTAAGAAATAAATCTTTCACACAAGTGCCTATTTACAGAAGTCATCAAAATGGACCAAAATTGTAATGTTTATGTTTATATAACGTAGCCTGTTTGTGGACATTTTTTTTAAAAATCTTCCTAGTATTTATATTACGTCCATCCATCTCTGTGGCGCTACAGCCCATGTAGGGCTTTTGGCCTGCCTCACCACTTCCTTCCACTTAAACCTAACTAATGCCTTTTCTTTTCCATGCTTGGATTCCCAGCTTCTGTAGATCTTTTTTCACGCCAACCTTGTAGTAGGTATATTATGTCTTAATGTAATTGGTTTACTTAGGTTTTTTCTTTTTTTTTCTCTTCTTTTTTTTTCTTTCACATGTATGACAAATGTTCTCCGCGTTTAAGAAAATTTCTGGCTGGCCCCCGAACGACTGAGGTACAGAGTTAGTGCCACCCAAGAGGGAGACGTCTATAGTCTGGCGATCATCATCTCTGAGATCTTGACAAGGGAGGAGCCGTACAGCCACTACAATGATTTCTTAACAACGCAAGGTAAAACTTGATGATTGGCGGCCAGTCTCAAGTTTAACGTTTGAAACTATGGCTTGACAGGGTGCGGTTTTTTTTGTTGTTGTTTTTTTAACCGGGTCCAGGTATTTTACGAAAATACCCATGTGGGTCCAACTATTAATAAACAAAAGGTTAAATTCTCATTTTTTAAAAATAATATATGCCGGCCTTTAAACAAAGGGCCTTCAATCAGCACTACACAATACCCGTGACTCATTATTGATTAATATAATAGTAGCCTTCCTCTAAAGCAGTGGTTCCCAAACTGACAATCAACATTGATGCACCATTTGTTGAAATCATATTGTGCTATCTTTTAATTTTTTTTAAATTTTCTCGAATGAGCAACATTGCTTTAAGTACGAAACCATGAGTTTTTCGTTGTCTGTACCCAGATTTTTGATTTGTTGCGAAAGTGCGCACTTGCGCTAAGTCAGATTAACACCAAAAACCCTTATCGTTTACTCTTCTCTTTTTACTGAAAATAGAAATAAAATAAAGGTCCTGGTCTTTCTTTGAAGTATATTTTTTTAAAGGCATTTCCAAATTATCCCCAGGGCCCCCTTTGAGTGTCTGAGTGCCCCCTGAAATTTCCAAGACTTTCAGACAACCCCACGGCCGCCTGGAGACTCTGAGAACCACTAGTTTACACACGCAGTCATAGCACTGCAAAAATTTAAAAAAAATTAAATGAATTTTTTTTAAAAGTAAAACAGTAAAAACAATCCTAATGTTTTGTGTTTTTTTTTATTTTTATTTTTTTTACTAATTGAATCAGAGTTACTGGATAAGATTGTGATGGGGAGAGATCCACCGTTTCGCCCTGCTGTGACGGCACCCCCAGATCTAGTACCACTGGAGACGCTTATGAAGCAATGCTGGGATGAAACGCCACAGAAGAGACCTTCAGTCAGTAAGATCTCTGGCGTTCTACAAGGGTTAATGATGTAAGCGATGTTTTAGGAAAATCAATGTAAGCGTATCGGTCTTTCTTTCTTTCTTTCTCTCTCCCTCGTTTTTTTTCTCGTTTTCTCTCTCTCTCTCTCTCTCTCTCTCTCTCTCTCTCTCTCTCTCTCTCTCTCTCTTTCTTTCTCTTTTTCTCTCTTTCTCTCTCTCTCTTTTTTTTTTTTTTTTTTTTTTTTTCTCTCTTTTTTTTTTTTTTTTGTAAGATCTCTGGCGTTCTACAAGGGTTAATGATGTAAGCGATGTTTTAGGAAAATCAATGTAAGCGTATCGGTCTTTCTTTCTCTCTTTCTCTCTCTCTCGTTTTTTTTCTCGTTTTCTCTCTCTCTCTCTCTCTCTCTCTCTCTCTCTCTCTCTCTCTCTCTCTCCCTCTTTCTTTCTCTTTTGCTATCCTTCTCTCTCTCTCTTTTTTTTTATTTTTCTGTCTTTAGCTCTCTCCTTTTCTTTCTTTCTCTCTCTCTCCATCATTCTTTCTCCTTCTCTCTCTTTCTTTCTCCCTCTCTCTTTCTCTCTCTTTAGCTCACTCTCTCTTTCGCTCTATTTAGATCTCTCTCTTTCTTTTTCAATCTCTCCCTCTTTCTTTCTCTTTATCTCTCTCTCTCTCTCTTTCTTTCTCTTTCTCATTCTTTCTTTCTCTCTCTCTCCCTCTTTCTTTCTCTTCCTCTTTCTCCTTTTCTTATTCTTTCTCTCTCTTTCTCTCTCTTTCTCTCTCTCTTTCTCTCTCTTTAGCACTCCTCTCTCTCTCTTTCTATCTCTCTCTTTCTCTCACTCTCTCTCTTTCTCTCACTCTCTCTCTTTCTCTCACTCTCTCTCTCTCTTTCTCTAAATATGTCTCTCTCTTTCTTTCTTTCTCTCGCCCTCTCTACTAAAATACATCTAACCCAATCTCCTTTCTCATTAATATTACACTAAACGCACGTCTCTTTGAAGGAAAATCAACACTTCTGGCAATCTCCTGGACAACCTGCTCCAGAGGTTAGAAAAATATAGCAGCAACTTGGAGAAAATTGTGGACGAGAAAGTGGATGAACTCAAAAGAGAAAAACAGAAATCGGAGGAGCTGCTCAGACAAATGTTGCCCATGTAAGTGTTTAATTAGCATGATGTCTGCTCAGACAAATGTTGCTCATGTAAGTGTTTCAAATAAAATGATTTGTGGTAAGAATCAAACAATCTGTAAAAAAAAAGAGTTTCGTTTAAATCGTTGATAAAATGTAATATGGAGCTATGGGGGTGGGGCTGAGAATTTGACAAAACATGCATACAGGTTACCGCATATTTATTTCACCATCTATTTCAGAAAAAACAAAAGAAAATATATAATATAATATCACTTAGCGTAGTTATCTGCGATTTAAAGATGTCTGTCAAAGGGACATGAAAGCAGCCAAAATACATACAAGTGACTGGGAGTGTAAGGCAAAAGACCGATCTACGTGGCGCACAGTTGTCAAAGAGGGCGTCATGGTAGCCGAGGAACGAAGAATGGAAGAGGCTGCAGACAGAAGAGCTAGGAGAAAGGCCAAAACATTTGGAAGCACGGAACTCGTGTGTAAAAACTGTGGTAAAGACTGTCACTCAAGGATAGGACTGCACAGCCACTCGAGAAAATTCAACCCAAACCAACGGTGATGCACCATCGTCTCACGAGACGGAAGGATGCCGGATATAGTTATCAGAAATTTTAGTTTCTGAAATCAGTGCATTGTATTTCCATCATCTCCCCCTTGAAAAATAGGGAAAAAAACTGATTTTTGGGGTTTGGGGGTCGGCAGAAAATTTTTTAGAATGTATTGTCATCGACAACGACTCTATGTGCCTATTGTCTGCTCGATAGGTTGACGGGAACTGGGTCATTTAGGCGACTGAAGATTTTGCATCCACATACACAAGAATACAAGTGAAGTTAATATAAAGGATTCATTAAAAAAAAAAAAAAAAAAAAAAAAATAAAAAGTAAGTAAAAAAAAAAGAATTATTAAAAAAAAAAAAAAAAAAAAAGAAAGCAGATTTTACGTTTAAGTCTTCAATTGAATGATGACTGGTTAGACAGAGGTCCTAGTTTTTTTCTACATCTAAGTGTTAAAATAACATGATTTCTAGTCTGACAAAGATTCTACATCTAAGTGTTAAAATAACATGATTTCTAGTCTGACAAAGATTCTACATCTAAGTGTTAAAATAACATGATTTCTAGTCTGACAAAGATTCTACATCTAAGTGTTAAAATAGCATGATTTCTAGTCTGACAAAGATTCTACATCTAAGTGTTAAAATAACACGATTTCTAGTCTGACAAAGATTCTACATCTAAGTGTTAAAATAACATGATTTCTAGTCTGACAAAGATTCTACATCTAAGTGTTAAAATAACATGATTTCTAGTCTGACAAAGATTCTACATCTAAGTGTTAAAATAACATGATTTCTAGTCTGACAAAGATTCTACATCTAAGTGTTAAAATAGCATGATTTCTAGTCTGACAAAGATTCTACATCTAAGTGTTAAAATAACACGATTTCTAGTCTGACAAAGATTCTACATCTAAGTGTTAAAATAACATGATTTCTAGTCTGACAAAGATTCTACATCTAAGTGTTAAAATAACATGATTTCTAGTCTGACAAAGATTCTACATCTAAGTGTTAAAATAACATGATGTCCAGTCTGACAAAGATTCTACATCTAAGTTGTTAGAATGTTCGATTAGCTTTGAGGCTAATCCTCTACCCAACTGCTAAGATGCGTTGGTTTCTTACAATACGGCAACTTACACAGACACACACCTATATATAGATATATAGATATAATATGTTATATATATTATATTATAAACATTATTGATGAACTGGTTTGATCGATCAATAAATGAGGTCACGTCTATGGGGTGAGTGGGGCCTAGGGGAAAAAGGACGGATGTGGAGTGCACAGAAGTACTTGGAATGTTCTTGCTAGCGTCGCGTGTTGGGATTTGATTCCTAGAAACTCTCGATTATCTGTGGTGCAGGCTCACGGTTAGGTAAGCAGATGTGAGGAACTTGGCGGACTCCTCGGAATTGGCCACAGGGCTTATCCTGTGATGAAGTTGTTTCGGGCAATACGGCAACCAGATTATTTATGACAACCAGACTTTATGACAGCCAGGCAAATCGGCAACCAGGCTATATGACAGCATTGCCCCTCCCCAAACTTAGTTTAATATCAAAAGATCGAACTCGATGACTAAAACTTACTAGGTAAATAAATTTGCCTAAGCTTTTGTTCTCAAACCAGTGGTCTCGAAGTGTGCTGAGATTGGAAAGGAAAGTCCGTTCATTCGTTTTAACACAGCATATATTTTAAAAAGGTGGGGGGGGGGGGAATTTTTATCATTGGTGGACCTCTGACCTCAATCACGAGTGTTATGTTTGACTCTTTTCCCCGTGCGTGAACTTTGCTTGACCCCAAATTAGATTCCCAGCACATGCTACGTTCATAGATGGGCGTGGCTTATTCCTTTTATGTTACCATGTTTACTTCCGACAGCAACTAAAAATAATTTAATCTGTTCTCAATTGTATTTTGTAGAATGTTGGCGATTGTATTAGAAAAGTAAAGACATTTTTAGAAGCGTTGGTTCTACCGACGCATAGAAATTAAAAGGGGATTCAGAGATTCATAGAGGGAGAATCAGATAGATATTTTTAACTCCACGAGAAGTGTATTATTCTTTGTGTGCTCATAGGTGTTTATTTCGCATTCATCATTCATCATTCATTAATTGGCACATTGTACTAATTGTGTACCGGTACAAGATTTTCACATACTCTGTAAGTTGATGATTTGTAATTATATTTATTTTGTTTTGTAATTGTATTATTACTAAATTAAATCTTAGTAATTGTAACTGGCAACTGTTTTTGCATGTCGTATCTTTATTTTTGTCTTGCTCTATGGTAGCGTCCTTTGTTGTGCACTGTTTGATCGAGCCATAACTTAAAACTAGAGATTAATTTCTCACAATAGAAGCCAGTGCGTAACACGAGTTTGATCATGGCTAAAGAAATAACATGCGCCTTTGTGGTCAAAAACTCTGTGAGCTCAATATAAAAAAAAAATAAAAAATAAAAAAAAATAATAAAAGGGGGCGGGGGTGTCCTAGAGGGTGCATATTGTTCACAAGTGTCAACGCTCCTTGTGGTTTTAGACTACCATAGACAATAATAAGAAGTGGGGTTACTCTTTTTTTTTTTTTAAATGGGGCGGTGTCTAACAAGAGTTTAAATCTCAGAAACAGTTAGGGTCCAGCCTTTTATTATCACTTCACCTCATCTATTTTCAATAAGGAAGTTGCCCTAAAAATATTGTTTTGTTTAATGCCCGAAAAGACCCTTACCTCTTTAGATTATTCTTATCTAGGCGGCTCTTTCTATTCAAAACGTAGCTAATGAAGGAGACGTAGATTTAAAACTGGTCTTTTATAACAAAAATATATTTTTCACAGTCCGGTCGCTGACAGACTAAAAGACGGGCTGACCGTTGAACCAGAGTTCTACGACTGCGTGACCATTTACTTCAGCGACATTGTCGGCTTCACGACCATCTGTACGGAGCTGAAACCTGTCCAGATCATCAACCTGCTGAACGACCTGTACTCGTGTTTCGATGGGATTATCGGCCACTACGATGTCTACAAGGTGAGGAGGTGTTTCTTTTCTCAGTTTTTTTATATTATCTTGGTTTAGCATCGCATTCTACAACTGTTTTGTCGATAGCCAGAACTAAACGAAAAATTCTGGCTCTGAAGAATGGAAAAGAAGAAGAAAAAAACTTTAGAGATACAAAGTTTTGTCCGGCGAAAAAGATTCTTGGGGGCCATTCCTTCACGTCTACTAAAGATTTAATTTCTTATATACACTTACATTTTTAAAACATTTTTTAGTTTTTAATTATTAATTTTTTTCCTTTTAATTTTTTTTTATTTTATTTTTAAAAATTTTTTTTGTCTTTGGTGCCTTTATTTTTTCATTTAAAAAATTTGTTAATTAAATTTTTTTGTTTGTCTTTGCTTAATTTCTTTTTTATTATTATTAATCTTTTTCTTTTTTAATTGCGTTTTTTTTTTTGTTTTTTTTTTTTTTACGAAAATCCCATTTTTTGTTTTTTTTTTGGTCACGAAAATCCCATTTGTCTCTGGGAAAGTAAGCTTTTCAAAATTTATAACACACATAAAAATTTACGGAAAAAATTATTATATGTTTTTTAAAAAAAAAAAAAAACCTACACCAGAGAATTCATTGGCAAATTACGCGCATTAATACAGTTACAATATTTTGTTGAAAGTTACAAGAAGCTTTCTAACAAAAATTTTGAATTAAAAACAAAATTTTAAAAGAAGGAAAATAATGATAAAAGAAACCTAAAGATATTTTAAGCATCAACTTTGTGTATTCATTGAGATTTAAAGTTGGGAACTTTATGACTACACACTGTTTGACTTGTCGCCATCTTGTTCCACGTGGGAAAAAAAATTTTTTTCAATAGATAAAATTTTGGGATGAGCAAATTGAAGATTTGATCAAAAATCTTTTTCCTAGACTTGGCTTCAGAAATTGTTACTCTATGACATTTCGCGGACAAGATATAGGATGAATGTGTTACACAAAATGAAGGAGGAAAAAGATGGGTGATTAGGTTTAATTAAAAGTGTCTTGAATATTTAGAATATTTGAAATATAACACATATAACGCATTAAACGAGATGCCCTTACCAGGTAGAAACTATCGGTGATGCCTACATGGTCGTCTCGGGACTGCCCAATAGGAATGGCAATGAGCATGCGCGTCAGATTGCCCGGATGTCGCTGGCCCTACTGAATGCCGTTTCAACTTTTACACCAATCGAAACATCAGAGGACAGACTCAAGCTGAGGATTGGGCTCCATTCAGGTTTGTGACCAATGTTCCCTTTAAGCTTCGCGGCTGTGCGGCCACGCAGCTATCTCACAGTCGCCGCGCAGCACTTTTGAGTACCACTCAGCAAATTTTCAAGTAAATTTGTGTTTGTGTTTGTAGGCTGTAAAATCTTGCACACACAAAATTGAGGCTGTTAAAATTTGCACCCAACAGTATGATTTTGCTCACGAACCAAAAAATCTTAGAGGGAACACTGTTTGTGACATAGGAAATATGGCATGGGATTGCTTTTTATTCATACTGAAAATATAACAACAATTAAACAATCCCTAAAAAAATAAAAAATAATTTCCGATAAAATATTGTATATGCCTTTTTAAAATTATTTTAGTATATATTAATATTATTATGTCCCACTCGCTTTTAAAACCCAGATTTACTTCACCAACTATTTCAGAAAAACCAAAAGGAACATATTACACACCAAACCGCACTAGCGATATTTATGTTTAAGAATCTCATTGATCGAAGTTATCGGGAATTTTATTTCGTGAAATCTTTTTCCTTCGTCATTCCCTCGGAAAATGGTGATTTTGTAGATGGGGATGGGGCTGAATTTTTTATAATGTTTTGGTTATCGGCAACAAGCCTATGTGCCAAGTTTCAGCTCGATAGGTTGACGGGAAGTTGGTCAATTCGTAATTCGATATTATGCCAGTCCGCAACCGAGCCAGCCAGCCCCGAACAGAAGCGATGCTAGTAGAAAGAAAGGATTTTAAAAAAATAAGGACATGTTTATTTCACGAGTTAACAAAAGTAACAAAATGTGAAGAGTATGAGCAATCACTGAGGTCTCTATTGGAACGGGAAGAAGTGCTTAAATCATCGGTGCAACAGCTCTTGGTGTGCTTTCTGTCTACCTTCAGCGACAAGTTTCATTGCAAACAGAAATATTCTAATGAGAAGCCTGGTTAATATAAATCACGTCTGGAATTCGCAGAAAACTTTTGATGATTGATTATTCCCTTTAAAGCCATGCAAAAAAAATAAATGAGATAAAAATATATACTGGAAATTGTTTAGTGGTGCAATGGATTTGGACCAATCCATCGCATATAACACCACGTGATATTCCCCAGGTCCAGTGTGTGCCGGCGTTGTCGGTCTGAAGATGCCTCGCTATTGCTTGTTTGGAGACGCTGTCAACACGGCCTCAAGGATGGAGTCTAATGGAGTAGGTGAGATGTCTTGTGACATAGGGGAGTAGGTGAGATGTCATGTCTAACGGAGTGGGCGAGATGTCATGTTACATAGGGGAGTAGGTGAGATGTCATGTTACATTATGGATAGGTGAGATGATATTTTGTAAAGCGGGGTAAGGGAGATGTCATGTGACATAATGGAGTAGGCGAGATGTCTTGTAACATAATGGAGTAGGTGAGATGTCAGGTCTAATGGAGTAGGTGAGATGTCATGTCTAGTGGAGTAAGTGAGATGTCATGTCTAATGGAGTAGGTGAGATGACTTGTTGTCTAATGGAGTAGGTGAGATGACATGTTACAAAATGGAGTAGGTGAGATGTCATGTTACATAATGGAGTGGGTGAGATCTCATGTTACATAATAAAGTGGGTGAAGTGACATGTTACATAATGGAGTAAGTGAGATGACATGTCTTATGGAGTGGATGAGATGGCATTTGGTATAATGGAGTAGGTGAGATGAGAAGTTTTCAAATGGATTAGGTACGTTGACATGTTACATAATGGAGTGTCTGAGATGTCATGTTACATGGAGTGTCTGAGATGTCATGTTACATAATGGAGTAGGTAAGATGTCATGTTACATAACGGAGTAGGTAAGATGTCATGTTACATAACGGAGTAGGTGAGATGTCATGTAATACTATCGAGTGTTCGAAATAAAATTTATTTCTGAGAGTTTGGAATTCTTTGTATGCTTGCCCGTCCGTATGTACTTCTCTGATCTATGGCACATAGTCAAGTGATGTTACCATGCTCCAAGTGCGCTAAACATCCATTGGGAGGGTGTGTGGGGGGGGGGGGTCTTAGAGTGTTATGCCTCTAACTTTCCTATTCCATTATTACAATACAATTATCTTTTCAGAACTGAAGATTCACATCAGTAGCAGCACTGCGGATATTCTGAAAACTTTTGGAAAATTCATCTACAAATCCCGTGGAGCTGTCGATATTAAGGTAATCAAAATTTTGAAACAATACTCTCCTTAATCATTGTCACCATGTACATTGATAATTTTTTTAAAATTTAATAACGATCGCTATAGATGAGTTTCTTAATTACCCACAAAAGACACTAGAAAAGATGGTGAAATCTGTGATATTAACCCATCTTTGACCTTTGCAAATGCACATTTTTTTTCCAACCTACGTGGACAATTTATTACAATTTCTATGTTCAATTTAACTTTTAAAATGTGTTTGTTTAACTGACCTCAATTCATATTTGTGTTGTTTTTGTTGTTGTTGTTTGTTTTTTTTTGATTGAAGAAATGTTTTAAAGATGTTTCTAAAAAAAAATGATGACCTTTTAAATCTTCTCATTCTCTTTGCCAGTTCGTATCAATACCGTTCAAAGAAAAAAAAAACTCATGGAGTTTAAACTTACATTTTTAGCAATGAATAATTAATCTGAACACATGTTCAAGTGTTCAAGAATATTAGAGAGTATTATTTTAAAAAACTGATTTTTTTATAAGTGGTTTACTTCTTTTCTTTCTTTTTTTTTTATTTAACACACAGGGTAAAGGCATTATGGAAACGTATTGGTTGTTAGGCGAAGAGGACTGATGTCAAAGAGGACTGGTGTTGAAGAGGACTGATGTCGAAAAGGACTGATGTCAAAAAGGACTGGAGTCGAAGAGGACTGGTGTCGAAGAGGACTGATGTCGAAGATGACTTATTTCGAAGAGGACTGATGTCAAAGAGGACTGATGTCGAAGAGGACTGATGTCGAAGAGGACTGATGTCGAAGAGGACTGATGTTGAAGAGGAGTGATGTCGAAGAGGACTGATGTCGAAAAGGACTGATGGCGAAGAGGACTGATGTCGAAAAGGACCGATGTCGAAGAGGACTGATGTCGAAAAGGACTGATGTGGGGCACACGTGAAAAAAATGAACGACGTCTCTATATTCTTCGAGAGGATTTCCGTGAATTAAGTCACGGCAACATGGGGCTTTAACTGTGACCTATCGGTGACTTGACCTGATTAACTCATGAAGAGGAATTAATTTGTGTGTCACAAAGATGACTCGAATAAGACATGCGAAACAATGATTTATAGTTAGTTGGCTGATGTGTGACAGAGTTGATAGGGGAAGAAAAAAAAGAGTTATGGCCGCAACAGATAAATACATAGCTCGAATGTGTCATAAAGTCATTGCAAAACGCCTAATTTTCCCTTCTGGTGCCCGTCCCCAAATTCTCCCATCGCGCCTTGTTCTTTACCCCGCATCACACACGCTCTCTCTCTTGCCCTCCTTACCTTTTACTTACTCCCCAATGTATATCTATATATTCTATAAATCTATACTAGCTAATAACCCTGATGTTGCCTGGCATTGCATTCTGAAGTTCTGACCACAAAGAACAAACTCGACAGCCTTATAGTAAACATCGAAATTAAGAAGCCTGTTAAAAAAACAAAAACATGTCGCTTATGTATTAACATTAAAATTGTATGTTTTACCCCATAAAAAATGGATCCCATTTTAAGTGGGATCCCGTAGCCTGTTTGGATCCACTACCCGATTGGGATCCCGTTCTCTAGTTTATTTATTTAGGCATTTTTATATAGCGCTTACCTTAAAGCTCTAAGCACTTTACAGTTATTAAAAACATGTAAACTAAGTAAAATAAAAATGAGACATTAGGATAGTAACTACTATACTATAGAAACAATTAAAATGGCTATAAAACGAGGACACTTTGGCACGTTTTGGCCTATACTACAGGATCAACCCGAGACAGAAAATGAGGCAGGGCAAGGAGGGTGCATCACAGGTCATAGACGGACCTAAACAGATGGGTTTTAAGGGACTTTTTAAAAGTGGATGAGGTTTCACAATGACGGATATGGAAGCCTGGAAGGGGAGCTGGTTCCAATACGTGGGCCCATGGAAGTAGAAGGAGCGTTCACCCATGGAAGTAGAAGGAGCGTTCTAGTTCATCCCGTTCCCCGAAGGTATCACATTGGGATCCCGTTCTCTAGTTCATCCCGTTCCCCGAAGGTATCACATTGGGATCCCGTTCTCTGTTGTGATCCATTCTACGCAGACTGAAAAGGTATGAAAATCTATATAACTGAAATAATAATCCCCAAAAGTGGACGGCAATAAATATTTCCCCGTGGAACAATATACATGTAGATCCTTCTGGAAAATTCTAGATTTAATTGCATTACTTCCTCGAAACGTTTGAAAAATGACTTTTCTAGTAATATTCGAATACAAAAAGTTCTACAACTAACTAAATGTCATAACTATAACCATTTTTCATTCAAGTTAAAAGAAGGAGCCCTGATGGGAGCCCATTTTATAAGGTACCGTTTTAGTTATGCGGGGGGGGGGGGGGGGGGAGGGCGTTAAAAAATCATTCATTTAAATAATGTAGTTAAAATGTAAAATATGTCTCATTAAAACCGACTCAAAAATACCATGGAGCTAGCTTTTTAAAATTATCGAACTTTATGGAAAATTCTAGACCAGTCCTGAATGGAATGAATGTTATTAGTTTTAAATCCAAAATATTTCAAAACAGGCTATAAAGCTTATTGCTACCAAGTTAGGCCCAGGTCAACGAATTCAGATAGAACGCAAAACTTGTCTCACTAAGGCTATTGGTATTTATGTGATTTATATAAAGAAAAATGAAATGGGGCGGAGGCCCCCAGAGGAATGAATATTTTGAGTTCATTACCTTTGGGTATTTGAATAAGGATAATCCAGTATATGCATACTAAGTTTGGTCTAGATCAATCCATTCATGTGGGAGTATTTGTTAGTAATTTTATTTGTATAAGAAAAACAAAATTTAGGGCACCCGCCCCAGAAAGGAATGTTTTAAAAGTTCATTCGGGATAATGATGGATCAATGTGCCAATTTGGTTAAGATCCAATGTAAAAAATGTGTGCGGAATAAACGAAGCCACAAGCAAATCAATTTTCACTTTGATATATATTTATGATTATATTATATATATATATGTATATATATATATATATATATATATATATATATATATATATATATATATATATATATATATAAAAGCAAGCACCAATAACTGACTACATCATTCAATCACCGATCACGAGAACTCAAGAACAAGAACTATAAGGTTGAAATTTTGAATGGGGATTTCCCTAACACTCTAAAGTGCACTAAAAAGTTGTTGTTTTTTAATTCAGCCGTTAAGTTGCCTAATAGGACACAAGGCCGTCACGTGGTTGCTATTATTATGAATCATTTGTTTCGTGGGTGTGACAAGGATTAGTGCTTTGGACTGTTAGCTTTGTTTCGTGACAAGGGTTAGTGCCTTGGACTGTTCGGTTTGTATAGTGACCAGGTTCTGGTATCGAAATTAACTGAGAAATGTTCTTGCTCTATTTTTTTGTTGTTAACGTTTTTGTATGTATCTTTCTATATATATTTTTTTTTAAAACAAATACCACTCACTCACTAACTCACTCACTCACTAACTCACTCACTCGCGTACCCACTCATTCCCTCACGTACCCACTCACTCACTCACTAACTCACTAAATCACTCACTCACTTACCCACTCACTTCCTCACGTACTCACTCACTCACACACACACACACTCACACACTCACTGATCAAGAGATATCAAGAACAAGTCCTATCAAGTTAAAATTTTAAATGGTGATTATACTTACACTCTAGAGTTGCCCAAAAAGTTTTTTTGTTGTTTTTTTTAAGTTTTAAATCAGCTTTTTAATTATTTTTTTTTTTTTCATATTTGGTTTGGTTATTGAGCGTATGTTTTTACGACGAGATTGATTTATAAGGGTTGCCTCTTTTTTTAATTGGATCTTGACCTTTTTTTTTTGTCCACTACGAGCCATGGCATGCCAACTTACCCACCCACCCACCCCGCCTCTTTCCTTTGGTTTGGCATCTTTGCGTCATTGATTAAATGTATAGCTGTGTACACCATCATCCCCTCCATTGATTGGGAAAAGGTTGTTTAAGTTCTAATTTG